CACCATCCCCCAGCCCCAGCCCCAGCCCCACCCCTCCTCCCTCCATTTATTTCCCAGCTCCGTTCCTCCTCCCCAGTTCTGAAGAAGGGTCCTGACCCGAAACGTCGACTTTCCTGTTCCTCTGGTGCTGCCTGGCCTGCTGTGTTCCTCCAGCTCCACACTATGTTGACTCTAACTCCAGCGTCGGCAGTTCTTGCTATCTCTGCTAATCCAGGAGATTAAGTCATCTGGGCACAAGTCATAGACCAGAACAACCTGGTCACTCAGTCAGAATTAGTTTCTCCAAAGAAAGGCGATTTGCCACATGCACTGGAAGATATTTACCAAAATCTGCTCGTCAACTCCAAAGCTTTCTTTTATAAACGGACATTAAGCATGATAGTCAGCCAAGCACAGAGAGGGGAAATTTCCTGCTCAAGTCCAGTTCTCTAATGGGGAGGCAATATGTCCTCTATTGGACCAAAATAGAGCGAGTGCGCAAATTGCATTCAAATAGCTTGATAATATTAAATTCACTGCGGAGATATAAAAAGTTAGACTATACTGGTTTCATGGAGTTCTATTCCTGCAAAGAATATGAGCCTTCTAACAAACACTGAAATTAGGCACTGGCACTGATCAGCAGTTATGGTGCCAACATCAAAGAACAAACTTTAGCCTTGATCCTTTGGCAGATGGGCTCAAAAATAGACTCAACATAATCTGAAGTAGCTGAAACAAAAGGAAATGTAGACAGCACAGAACAAAGGGATTTGTTTTAGATTACAAATGAACAGGAGTAGGCCATTCAGCACCTTGAGCCTATTCCACCAATCAAGGAGATCATGGTTGATCTGTGGCCTAACTCCATATACAGTACATCCTCAGTATCTGTGAAATCATAAACTTGCCCATCAGCAAATAATAAGTATCAACAAAAATCAACGTGCATAGAGAAAACAGGCCTAATTTCTATAATCTCTCCTTTGTTCTAGCAAAGAGTTGGAACAGACATAATGGTCCAATATTCATTACGGTAGGATCCTCAGAGTTACGGGACAGGAATTATAGTATAATAATAATAATTCTTTGAAAACCATGAAGTTTTAACATGGCATGTCTTTTTTTTTTTTAAGAAATAAGAGCCCTCACCCAGAAGCAAGCCTGATTTATAAACTTGCCTACCTCAGACTGGTAAACGCTATAAGTTTGCAGATTCGGAGCAGGTGAGTTTGGAATTTGTTAGTAGAGATTGGGTCCAGAGTGGCTGATGGTTTGATTCTAGTGCGTTGGTTTTAAAAAAGGGTTAAGAGTTGGGAAATCATGGGAAGAGTCAGAGGTTGCAAACGAGATTGAGGAACACAAGTAGTGGGCTCACTGATGGGACCACACATTTTAACAAGCAAGTTTGTTAGGTCCGCAGGAAGCAATTCTATTCCACCTTGACCGCAACCAGAGTTGTAAAAGTACTTACCTGATGGATCCAGCTATCTTATGTCCTTTTGTTTGCTAGCCTTTTCCCAATACAGTGGTTAAAAATACAAACATGTTAAAATGGGGAGACACAATCTCCTCATGTATTAAAAGCAGAAATGGAGAGGATGGAGGAGCACAGGCCCATTTCCTCACCTCCCACCCAAATCAAACATACTCATTTTTGGACTTTTAAAATACTCCCAAATCCCTTCTATTCTGTAACGTTTTAAATGATACTCCTTTCAAAACTACAAACTCCATGGAAAATTTCTCTAGCAAACATTTATAATTTAGAAAATGGATCATAAATAAGATAATTTAAGATAGTTATTTTGGAGTAGCATGGTGGCTTACAGCGTCAGGGACCCTGGTTCGATTCCACCCTTGGGCGACTGTCTGTGTGGAGTTTGCACATTCTCCCAGTGTCTGCGTGAGTTTCCTCCGGGTGCTCCGGTTTCTTCCCACAGCCCAAAGCACAAAATGTGCAGGGTAGGTGGATTGGCTATGCTAAATTGCCCTTAGTGTTCAGGGATGTGTAAGTTAGGTGGGTTATAGAAGAATGGGTCTGGGTGGGATGCTCTGTGGGTCGATGTGGACTTGTTGGGCCTAAGGGCCTGTTTCCACACTGTAGGGGTTCTGTGGTTCTCTGGTAACACACATTTTAAGATTCTGAATGCAACAAATGGCAATGACGACATCTTGATAAATCAAAAGGCACCTTGAAAAGCAAGTTACTGGCACTGTTATTTTTTGACTGAAAACTACTACTGGGTAGAGAGCTTAAAAATTGAGAATTTGAGACTAGCATAATGTTTTGGAGTTGATCGAATATTAATCCACCCTGACTCCTCATGTGAATGCTAGCTGCAGTTATCTAACTGCAAATCTAGGAAATAGGACATTACTGGAATTAAAATAAATCGGAATGTCTCTTAGACACAAAGAGACATCAAACTTCCCATGGTAGCTATTTAACCTGTTAATTTTGACAAGTCAAAACCAAAAGTGAGATATTCAACTATGCCAAACACACAAACAATTCCCCACACATCAGGTTAAAATGTTACAGACTATACAAAGTCATTGCTGGGTAAAACATTGCTGAGATTTCAGCTTCAGTATAGACAAAACAGTAATGCTGCTTACCACCCAAGCCTCTCCCTCTACCGTGATGTGTAAGGATTGGTCCAACAGGCCGTGGATAAACTGCAGCTGGATAAAAATGCATGGCTGGAGGAGGATAAGCAATGGGATGAGCTTGCCTGGAAAGGTTTAAGCCTTCCAGAATACTCTGACGCATTTTCTCAAGTTTCGCAGCTTGATCAGCCTATAATTAATCACAAAATAGTACAGATTCTAAGTACAGAATCCATTCTCAACTGCCTGTATTATGCCTGCTCCCCAAAGCATCAGATAAAGTACAATAAATTTTGTTTTAATCAGCACCTTACGAACTGGCACACTTGGTAAACTGGCAAAAATTATATACCTGAAATACCAGAAATTTACTGTTATTGTGATCTCTGCAATGTTCCAATAGTCAGGGTGCGAGTGAGAAGGCTCGCTCCTGTTAAGTTTCATTTAAGGCAAAGTTGCATTATTATTTATGAGAGTTATGTTGTAGATAATGTATAACAGTAATGCGTATACCCCCTGCATTAACTTTCTATTACTTAGTGTATGTCTTTACATTGATTTGTGGACCTCTTTATTAACTGGAATATTTGATCAACCGGCACACTCCTGGTCTCATAGGTGCCAATTAATAAAATGTTTGCCTTACATACAAAAAATGGTATACAAACTAAATACCTAGTTTAAAAATATTGCAATAATAGCCTAGTGCCTTTTATTACATTGTACTGCAAACCAACATTCCCAAATATTTTGTGACATTCCCAAAATTTATACTTTGTACCAATGATCCCAAACAATATTTACTTCCCAAATATATTGGCCCAGATGGCCAGACAGCTACTGGTGCTGTGTAGACTGGAGTTGTGTGTTGAACCATGCTGAATTTCTGATGCAAATGACTTGGTCGGAATTGCCCAGGAAATTGAAACATTTGACGGGCAATCCCCATGTCTCAAACCCACTGAGAACGCCCCTTAAAATTTGGGGACTTCAGAGGCTGCGTTAAGCTTAATAGTTTAAAAACGTACACTAGCTTCTGTATGATTCTTTAACTGAACCCCCAACTCTAACACACCTAACACCATTTCCTACTCATTTGAGCAGACACCCACCATCCAAGACACAAGCCAGCACTGATGGGCCTTTTTCACTACTGTTTTGTAGATTCCTGATCAGGCTTGTCAGGGTAAGCGCCAGCAGAAATATAGGCATTTGCATTGTTAAGTTGTCTGGATAAACAAGTTTTGCTGGAAAAAAGGACTACTCCTTTCCACAGGCAAAACTGTTACTAAGAAGTAATTTGGATAGAGGTTCCTAAACTGAAATGTTTGGGGGTTGAGGAGAGTAGTGCATGAAAAGGACACAAGCAATCATTACAATTTGAAAGTGCACCACTACATTTTGTCAACCAGGAATCTTTTACAGTTTCTCATAGGAAAATTCTTCATCTGTACCTGGCTAAAACAGGAAGTTCAGATGTAAATCCACACATCAGACACTTTGTGAATCAGACTGTTGTTCTACCATCTCAATACAGAAGTTCTCAAAACTATTTTTCCTCAAAACCTTCCTGAATTCCAGGAACCATGCAAAATCCCTTCGAGAAAAGTGTTTTTGGCATAATTTATGTTAAAGTAAATGTAGCTAAAAATCCACAATACAGAGCAGTTCTGTTGCCATAGCTTTCAATTCTTCCCCCCAATATCTTTGAATTTCAGTATGAATTCTAGTTATTTTCTGGCATTACTTTGCCAAAAATCCATGTTTTAATCCAGGCACACTCCCGATTAATGCAAATTAACCATAAACAGGTTGGTGAAGTTTTCTAGATGTTATACACAGTGTAACATTAACCTAAAGGTAAACTGCAAGCCCCTCCTCTCCTGTGTATGGGATGCAAACTAGACGCAAGAGGAATAATTCCCTTCAAATTACAACTAGAGGTTAGGCATGTGGTCAGGTTGCTTGAGGTTGGTCTGGAGGCAGGGTAGAATAGGGCATATTTTGTGGAAATGCTTTGGAGGAAGTAAAGTATAAATTTATTTTATTCTGTGAAAATATCAGGAACTCATGTTTGCAAGCCTTTATAAACCTAACACTCAATTTAAAATTATAGTAAACACGAAGCAATATGAAATCTATGCAGGGGAAAAATAAGCTTTTCAGGAAGATGCAGAGCACTAGACAATAAAGTCACTATTGAGGGTGATACATTTTAAAAGGAGAGCTATTTATCCATACCTTCCACATATCATGAGTCTCCATGGGCTTGTGAAGAGTTCAATAGTGGGAACTCAGGACAAAGAACAGTTTAATAACTTTTTGAAGCAGAGTCAGGTGGTCACTGATGTGCTGTTATTTTTCCATTGTTTCATAGTAGCAGCCACACACAAAGCTCATGAGTGTTTTCAAACAATATGCTGAACAAATGTACAGACCAGGAGGAAAACAACTCAAATTTTTACTGAAAGAAACACATTTACATGGAAGAATATTGAAAATACCTGCCAGACAGGCAGGAAATCAGCCTAAGGAAGCTGAAAGAGTTGCAATAATGGTAACAGTGGAGAACATATGAATTGCATGCATTACTTGTTAATGATTGCTTGTGTCCTTTTCATGCACTGCTCTCCTCAACCCCCAAACATTTCAGTTTAGGAACCTCTATCCAAATACAGCCCTTGATTAAATATATCTACTTAATTTCTGAATTGATTAATTTGTAATTTTCATTTCATCTGAAGGAGAAAAAGACCCCAGTGTACTAAGTCTATTCAAAAAACTGATGGCATAAAAAAAGCTGTCAAGATATTTCACAACTTGTACAAATGTGAATATCTTGTAGCATACACATACAAAATATACCAGTGATACATTTTCTGACTTCAAAGTAAATTGGTGTATTTATATTTGCTGATGCCTACAGCCTTCCAGTACTTAAGTGAAGGGACAGCTTCATGAATAAATTATGACAGTAAGTATTCACCATTTGTTCAAATAGTGGTGAGGTGGTCTCACAGCCAGGTTTGATGTGCTCCAGACATTCACAACACACTCCCTTATTCAAATGAATCACTAGTCAACAATCAGAATCAGTAACATTGACTGATTTTCCCCACCTTGGCTCAACTCATTTCAGCTCAAGGATGAGGTTGTTGATTATTCTGTTCCATATGGTTCTGTACTCAGAATAGTTCAATTACCCATGGAAGCTTCAGGCAGCACTCCTACTCTCTGTAAGATATTGAACTCTTGTCTTGCTTTTTATTGTACAAATGCAACTACTTCAGAATTGTCTCTAGTACTACTTAAACAGATGCAATTAAAATATCAACTGCCATTGAATTTATTTTCTAAAGTTGATCTTTCCAGCCTCAGTTCAATACCTATCAGCAAGTGTACAAAATTATATAAATTATCAAACAAGAATCAAAATATTCTCACTAATAACTTAATTATTCATACCTGACCATCGCAGAGGTCAATCAAGGGCACCTTTTCCCGGCTCACTTTTATAAGCTTACTTTGGAAAAGCTTGCCATCAAAGTACATCCATGGACAACAATGCTCCCACGGAATTGGCTGCCCACATGCATCATTTGCAAATAATGCC